TGTGTGTGTGGCATGACTAGTCGTCCATCAGGAGCACTGCTAGCAGACATCCTTGTGTGTGTAGCTGACTTCCTTAACTTCTCTCTAAGACTTTTTGCTATCCTAATTATCTGGTGATCACCTAGCCTATCAGTCTTCTCAGTTTTCGTGAACCCTACACCCTCCTTTGAGCACCACCAGATAGACTAACGTTAATTCACTGACAGTACAAGACATCTGCATTTTTCATGAATAGTACAGAATATACACGGGTTTGTACTCTTTTCCAAACTGGCCCGTCTACAAAGAGACATGGATGCACTGTTTATGGTGGCTCCAGTCCGTCCTGGAAGAGGGAACTCCGAAGGTTGTGCTGGAAGATTCCTGTTTGACACCCTGGCTGTCCACCTGTGGGGTCCCTCAGGGTTCTGTTTTATCTTCTCTGTTACTTTGCATCTACATTAAACCACTGGGAGAGACTGTCCGGAGTTTGGGGGTTGGGAGTTAAAAGTATGTCGATGATACCCAACGCTCCCTTCCTTGCTAACTAAATCTGAGGGACCTGTTTCAGTTCTAAATCAGTTTTGGTATCAGTCATGAGGCTGAATAAACTGAGACTTAATCCAAACAAGACAGAGGTACTTCTGGTGGCAGATCAAGGCAAAGGGATACAGCCTGTGCTGGGTGGGATTACACTCCCCCTGAAAACATAAGTTCACAAACTTGGGGTCCTCCTGGAGTCGTCCCTGAGCCTGGATGTCCAGGTTTCAGCGGCGGCCAGGAGTGCATTTGCACCATTAGAACTAGTACTCCAACTACGTCCATTTCCGGAGAGATCTGATCTGGGCACTGTGACTCACACAGGCTAGGTATTTCCTTGACTGGATTACTGTAACACCCTCAATGTGGGGCTGCTGATGGAAAGGGTCAGGGAACATCAGCGGTTTTTGCTTGATAGTTGGACTTGACATACTTTATTCTTGGAAGATTTGCAAGAGCAAAATCATTCTAGTAAAACAAGCAACTTTAATCCAGACACTGAACTGCTGCCCCCGGAAGAATACAGAATCCAAGCCCAGCATCTACAGCCTCTTTCTCTCTCCAGGCAGAGGTTAGAAAAGTTATTTTTTTTCGGACTACAATGCCAGAATCTCACAAACGGCACGAGGGTTGGCCATGCTGCCTGCAGGAACTGAGATATCATAGTTTTGAAAAGAGTACTTTTCAGAGTTCTGCTGTCTGGCAGAGCCAGTATTTCCTTGTAAAAAGCCTTTGAAAAATGGATCTGTGGACATGCCGGAGTTCCTGAACTGAAAGGCTAGGTTATTCCCCATATTGGTTGTTGTGGGTTTTTTGGGCTCTTTGGCCATGTTCTGAAGGTTGTTCTTCCTAATGTTTCACCAGTCTCTGTGGCTGGCATCTTCAGAGGACAGCACTCTGTGCTCTGATGTAGTTTGCTTTGGAGTGGAGTATTTATGGCTGTGAGATCAGCTTTTGTCCTTTTCAGGAGATGGGTGATTAGTGTGTCTTGTTGTGGGTGTATTGTTGTGATAAGGAGGAGAGATTATCACAATCTGTGATTGATGGGCATCATTAGCTGATCTTTTGTGTGTAGTGATCCCGGGTCTTCATTGACTTAAAAAACCCACAACAGCCATTAGATCCCGGCCATGAAAGCCTTCGCGAATACATTTCCCCATAATCCCTGCATGCTGGTCTTCTAAATACACTTTTCTAAAATGTATTACCAGAACTAGCCACTAGAGGGAACCAGGAGCTATACAGTATAGAGTGTTTTTATATCCATGCTTTCTGGGATGGGGGGCTTGAAACCAATTTCCCGGAGATACTGCGGTCCGGCTGGTTTCTCTCTTATCACTGCCTCCCCTTTGGGCTTTTCCTTTTGGTTGAAAAAGCACGACAAAGACATTGCAATGTGAAAAATAGGACATGGATTCTCTCCTATCCCAATTTCAAACATTTTCAAATCTTTATTGCATAATCAACAGATCATTGCAAATTTTAAAAGAATACGCTGCGTTCGAGCAATAGTACTATCATGCCATAGGTATCAGTAAAAATACAATGAATTAAAATAATGCTAATATCAGTAGTTCAAAATGGGGCCTGTAAATATGATAATCACTTATTTAAAAAAATTAGCTGGAACCTCATGAAATCCAATGATAACAGTTAAATATAACATTTAAATTATGTTCCATGTGGCTATCTTCATACATCTAAATCTTTATTTGTAGTGGCTTGAAAAGCAAATATTGCAACTCTATTTATTTTATGTGAATTGGGTGTTTGTAATAACAAGCTTAATTTCTCTGGTATGCTTCTATATTCCACTTTCTTAAAGATGGGCTGTAAATATTGTTCTCTCATGCAGTGGTGCCTCGCTAGACAGTTACCCCGCATGACAGTTTTTTCACTAGACATTGACTTTTTGCGATCGCTATAGCGAATCGCAAAACAGTTATTCCAGTGGGGGAATTTCGCTGGACAATGTTTGGTCCCTGCTTCGCAAACTGATTTTGACAGCTCCGTCCGCGCTTGCAAAACAGGCTTTTTCGGGACCTAAGCTTCGCAAGACAGCGATTTAAACAGCCGATCGGCGGTTCACAAAGCGGCTTTCCTATGGCCGATCCTCACTAGACAACGACGATTCTTTCCCATTGGAACGCATTAAACAGGTTTCAATGCATTCCAATGGGGAAATGCTTTTCTCTAGACAATCGAGTAGACCAGATAGGCGGGGCATAAATCAATCAATCAATCAATCAATCAAACAGCGATTTCAGTGGAATGGATTATCATTGTCTAGCGAGGTACCACTGTATCCATATACAAGGGGCACTCAAGCACATAATGAGACAAGTCCTCATGAACAGGGTTTCCACAAACACAACAATCTTTCATCTGAAGCAGGGGTAACCAACCTTTCCCCAAGCACAGACCGGTTGGGGGGGCATGGCACACCCTCGGGGGCAGAGCTTGCATCCATACGCACATCACTCTCATAGAGGGGTGCTCACGCGCATGTGCACAACACACTCAAAGGGTTTGGAATCTGTTCGCGTGCTCAAGGGCGGCACTTGCAGGCGGTAGGAGAGGTGTGATGAGAGCATAGAAGCTCTCATTGGAGTGCCGTTCATCAATAGGGTATCCAGAGAGGTATAGACCACTGCTCCACCAACCCCTCAAGAAAGCGTACACTGGGAAATAGATACTCAGGAATTGGAAAAGACCTTACAGGGCTTAACTGTAGCTCCTGTGAGACAGCAGGTGAGTTGGTGCTCGTCCTTCATCTTCAACCAGACAGAACATAGAGAGAGGAGAACCCCAGTGGACCTCAAGTGAAGTGTCCCAAGAGTCTCTGCCAGGGGGCAGAAGTAGAAGAGGTGACCGAGGAGCTGAGGGGAATGGAAATAAAGGAAGACCTGTCAGAAAGGGAGAAAAACGGGGGGAGGAGACAGAGGCAGGGATAGGGGGAAGTAAGGAGAAAGGAGAGTCTATTGTCTCTCATGGATGCAAGACCCCTGGAGGTGGAATTGGGAGAGATTAAGGATCCCTAACAAGAGGCTGATTATAGGCAGAGGACAGGGATCCCTCCTCGACCCTCTTATTGGGGAGAGGCAGAAGCAAGAGAGTGGAGAAGAAAGCTGAGGGGGTGGGGAGAAAGAATAAAGGCCCCCAAATCCCCCCACCTCCATTCGGATCCTCAGGCGGGAAAGAGGTCGGGTGGGGCGTGCCGGGCGAGAGAGAGGAAAAGGGCAGGGAGGGGCACGTCCTCCACTTCCTGTTCCGGCGGGGGGGACGCAGCGCCGGAATCAGCCCTTCCTCCTCCTCCTCCTCCCGCTCCTCTCACACTTTCGTAGCTCTACGTTCTCCCCCCCTCCTTTCCCTCCCAAGCAATTGCCGCTAAGAAGAGGAGGGGGAGGGGCGGGGACGGGGCATAGAATCCGTTAACTTTTAGTCTCCATCCTGGGGAGGGAAGGGGAGAGAACGTAGAGCTAGGAAAGTGGAAGAGGAGTGGGAGGAGGGGGATGCTTCCGGCGCTGCGTCCCCCCCAGAACCGGAAGTGGAGGCCGTGCCCCCTCCCTCCCCTCTCTCGCTTTTTCTTCCACCATATACAGCAGGACCCCTGTATCTACAGTATCATTATCCGCTGTTTCACTTATTCACGGTCTGAAAATATTAAAAGAAAAAAATTTCAAAGACATTTTCATTAGTATTACCAGAGGGAGCCAGAGACTGTGCTATGAATACTTGTTAGTGAAGAATACATACTGTAGGTAGCATGGTCACTGGCACCCTCTAGTGGCAGTTTTGAAAATGCATGTGAAAATGTTGTTTTTCTCTTTTCCCCCCTTTTACTATGCTAAATATAGTGTTTGCTATTATCCATGGTTTTCAGTATCCACAGGGGGTTTGGAACCAATCCCCAGCAGATATGGAGGTCCTACTGTATAAAGAGCAGGAACAGGAAGCTTGTGGGGAACTAGGCCTAGCTAAGCCTCAAAGCCTTTTAATGTAGGCCTTTCTCCCAGGTGAGCCACAGTCAGATGACTGCTACTGATAATATGGCATCCATATGGCTGTGGAACTGGCATGGAGGAAAATTTGTGTGTCATGTTGTAAGGTGTCAGCCGTAGCAACAGCCATCTAAGCAAAATGCCAGGGAAAAATCTATTTTTTTCCAGCTAACCACCAACTTTAGTTTGACAGATCCATCATAAATGATTTGATTGCCCAGAGTATCACTTCTCCGAAATGGGGCTTGGAAGTGGGAGAAGATATGGGGTCAGCTGGGAGGGAGGGATGAGGATGATGAGGATGATGATATTTCATTTCTATGCTGCCCCATCTGGCAGCCAAGGCGGCTGCTGAAGCCCCTGCAAGGGAGGGAAGTTCCTGGAACACGTTTAAAAAAATATTCTCAGGAATATTCTCTCTCCTCCCTCCCCCCTCCTCTTCTCAGGGGCTCTTGGTTGGGAGGGAAGGGAAGGGAGTCCCCCCCACACACACACCGGAACTTCTCCTTCCCCCTCCTCATCTCTTGACCCTCCATCCAGGTGAGAAAGAGGGGAGGGGGCCCCATTCGATAGGAGCACGAGGAAGGCACCTCCCGCAAGGAAAGATTTTTTTTTTAAAAAATTGCTTTATGCATAAAAGCCTCCCGGCTGATCTTTTCTGTTTTTCTTTCCTTCTAGGAAGCGGCGAGACTGAGTTGATGTCTCTTTGCTTTATTTTGGGACCAAAAACAAAGAACCAAATCCCAGATCCCTCCAAACATCATTTCCCAGGTCAGTGAGATTTCAAGAGGTGGCTGAAGTAGCCTTCCCCCCCCCCTTTCCACTCTCTCTCTCCTCTCAGTTTCCCTGGCCCGGCAGGGATTTGAATACAGGTCTTCTGGTTCTCAGTCTGGTCCTCCATCCACTACACCACACTGCCTCTCTGAACATGTGCAGAGCGGTGGTGTTTGAAGGTATAGTTTTGGAGGGTTTTTTTTGCATTGTATTTAGGTTTTTATTTTTTTAAAAATCTCAATCCTGCTCACCCCAACCCCATACTTACCAAGGGCAGGTCCTCTTGATAAGAGGCAAACCTCCATCATCCAGATATGGGGTAGGTGTATGTGTGTGTGGGTTTCCCCTTCAAGCCTCCCTTCTTGTTTCCCCTTAACAGACAAGCCAGGCTGGGGGATTTTGTGCTTTGGACTCTTATGACAATAGAATAACAGGTAAGGTCATTTTTGTTCCCACCTTCTCCTTCAATGTCACTCTCCAGATGGGTCCATGCACAGACAGTCTCAAGAATAGACTACTGTAATCCTCTTTCTGTGAGGCTTCCTTTGAGGCTGACACCGGACTCTCCCCCTCCTGTCGTCTCCTCTGGGAAGGTGATTCCACACCCCCACGTGGGGGAAGGTTCTTCCGTTTCACATTCTCTCTTTTCTCCTCTTTCTATTTGTGTCCACTCTTCCCTTATCTTTCGGCTCCATCCTCCTTTGCTGGCTGAGCGAGGGTTCCTTCCCCTTTCTGCCTCTTCTCTCGGTATCATCAACCTCTCCCAGATAGGAATTCATGGGTTCTCCATCCAAAAACCTTCCCACCCATCTAGGAATACCTTACTCTCTTCATCTGATTTTGGTATTGCCCACCTGGTGATGCCCACCTGGTGATGTCCATCTGTTGGAAAAGGGTATTTGTGATGACAAGCTTGTTCTCTTGACAAAACTCTATTAGCCTTTGCCCTGCTTTGTTTTGAACTCCAAGGTCAAATTTCCCTGTTGTTCCTTTTATCTCTTGGCTCCCAACTTTAACATTCCAGTCCCCTATGATTAGAAGAACATCTTTCTTTGGTGTCCGTTCTGGAAGGTGTTGTAGGTCTCCATAGAATTGGTCAATTTCAGCCTCCTCAGCAATGGTGGTTGGTGCATAAACTTGGATTACTGTGATGTTGAAAGGTCTGCCTTGGATTTGTATTGAAATCATTTTTTTCATTTTTGAGATTGTATGTCAGTACAGCTTTTCCCACTCTTTTGTTG